GGAATCAGGAAGAGGCCGACAGTTAGACCCTGGTCCCAGCGCTGGATTTTCCCAAGTCCGAAGAGGACTTTTGCAGCATCTGGGGCAGGGCCTGCCTTGGTGGCTTCACCCCACTCAGCGCTGCAGATGAGGAGGGTCCCAGGGCAGGGCAGGGCAGGGCAGCACCATCCCCGTTTCCTGGCCTCCGGAGAGGGAGACTCTGCGCCAAGCTGGACACGGAGGACACCTGCGCGCTTCGCTCTGTGAGCATGCTTCGGTGCTTGAGCTGTCTTTCAGCAGCTCCCTGGCTCTGAGAGGGCCTCCCCATCCTCCAAGCGTGCCTGCAGTTTTCACCCACCCTCGTCTGCCGAGCAGACACAGAGACCCTCCCCTCCCTTCTTGCCCATGGAGCCCCTCTTCTCCCTCTCCCCTCCCCTCCCAGAAAGCAGCTTTGGCTGCCCAAACTGAAGCAGCACCTACCTGGGGCTCCCCGGCTACATCTCTCCACACTGGGCAATCACCACTGGCAGCTTGGGCTTGTTATTCGGCCCGGTGGGCACGTTCTGCAAGAAGCACAAAGCAGGTGAGCAGCTGTCTGGAGAGGAAAAAGAGGTGCTGCAACTCGGCCCAGAGAACCTGAACGCAGATCCTGGGACAAGCAGATTCAGCTTGGAGTGGCATACACTGTAACCATGTTTAAACTGGGTTTGCCAATTGCTCGGCTCTGCATTCTGCAGAGTCAAAGCCCAGGGCTGGACTCACTCAACACTAACCCCAAGGAGCCTTAGTTCAGTGACTCCAGAACACAACCTGGAGAAGAGTCTTTCTTCCAAAAGAGGACTCAGGAACTGGTGCCCTCCAGCTGCTGCCCCTATTACAACCCCCTGCCTGGAACATCTGGAGAGCACCAGGATGCTGAGTTCCTAAGATCTGAAGTTCCAGACTCACACCATGGAGAAGACCAGAGATCTTTGGAGACCCAGTAAGGTTTCGTCTGAGAACGATGGGAAGACGATTCTTCGGTGGAGACCCCCAAACCCAAGGCATTGGCTAGGGCTTGGACTGAGCCTGCGGCCAGGGTAAAGATGATCTCTCGCAGCCTTGCTGCGCAATCGTCACTTCCATTTGGGTTCTCTCACTTTCTCTGGCTGGGTTACACAGCAGGACCAGGAACAAGCAGAAAGACTGAGAGGTTATGCCTCTTGGGGACAGAGACGTGGGAATCGCCAGTGGTTCTCTGCCACCTGCGGCTGCCCCTTCTAAGCTGACTCGGCACGATTTTAATCCTAGCCTCAGGCTAAAAAATGAAATGAAAACAAATCTTCCTTTAGAAAACAAAACCGCCTAATTCTGCGTTGGTTCTTGGATTGTGCAATTTCATCCCAAAGCCAGAGATAAACGTGAGGGGGCAGCTGCGACTTACTTCGATTTTTCTCATGACTAGCAGTCCGTCGATTATTTTACCTGCCAGGTTAGAAGAAAGAACAGAATAGCCTCAGTGTTTCAAGCAAAAATTCATTAGCCAAAGAAGAGCAATGCTAGTGTGCTTTTTAATTTTTGAAGGGGGAAACGGGAAGGAGGGTAGGGGGCTAGGGTTTAACTGCCCAGAGAGTCCCAAAGCTGAAGTTCCGGGAGAGAACCCTGCTCCAAAGACGGCCATCAGCAGAGTCCCAGCGCGAGGGGAAAACTCAGGGAAAACACGCAAAATGAAGCGTATGAGCCCATCTGTGTTTCAGGTTGCCAAGCGCCGAACAAATGTTACCCAAATTAATCTACCAGCTTGTCTCTGACGAAAGGAGACGAGGGCAGATGAGAGACTGCGGCAGAACCTTCAAAGGAAACGGGGGGGGGGGTTTACAGCCCCTTCATTTATTTATAAGTCACATTTATAGGCAGCTGAAGTGATGCACAACCAGTCGCAGAGCAATGCAGAGGTGAAAGCAGGTGATAATCCGGGGACTGATATCACCGACACCTTCAGAAGCTCCCGTCAAGGCCCCTACCTTTCCTAACCTATTCCTGGGGAGAGACCAGGCGCTCAGGGCCTGTTGAAAAGACGGCGGGGTTGGGGTAACTCAAACCTCTAAGGGGATCTCCTTCCATTCTGGGGATTGCCAAGAGCAAAGAGGGGCTGCCCCCCAGCAGGCCGTGTGACTATCCATCTGAAAGGCGGGAGCTTCCAGGTGATCACCTCTCAGCCCCGCCAGCCCCGGTGCCCACTGAAAAGGAGCCCACAGAAAGGTCTCCCTCTCCTTGCAGCAAGCGAGCTGCGATCTGTTCCTATCGGAGACCAAGGGATCTCCTGCTGCTCAGTAAAGAATGAAGTTCTGGATCCCCTTTTGGCCAACAGGAACGGAATCTCCTTCAGTTGAAAGATCCCAAAGCCACCTGTTGTGAGGGGTTGTGGTCCCAAGGCTGCCGGTGGGCAGCCCAGGACAGGATCCAGAGATGGGAGGAAGGGGCAAAACGTTTCAGGGAGCAGAGAAACCAGGATCCGAGCAGACCCTCCCGTGGCAGTGCTGGAGATGTGCCGTGAATTCTGGCCAAGGGGGATGGCCCGGGCCTGAACGCCCCAGCCGGGGGAAGTGGGGCGTGTGAGGACCCCGGGGGTGCCTGGCCTCCACCCAGCCAGCAGTGACTCACCAAAAACCACATGCTTCCCATCAAGCCAGTCGCACTTGGAGCACGTGATGAAGAACTGGCAGCCGTTGGTGCTGGGACCACTGTTGGCCTGGGGGAAAAGCCCAACACGCATCAGGCGAACGAGGGCAAAGGAGGAGAACGGCCTCCCTGCTCAGCGGTCAACTCCGCCCCCGAACAGATGAAACGCCGCCCTCCCCGCTTGGGGGAGACAGTTTAAAGTTGCTTCGTTTTAGGGACATCCCATTCAAAACTTTTGGGGGGGTGTCATGGGGTGGAAAGGGGGGCGGTGTTTTGGCTGGTCCCATTAGGGCGGCCTGATCCAGGCCCACCCACCCAAGCCCGGCACCTGGCCACTGCTTGTCTGCCGAAGCTGAGCAGCGCTGCGGCTCCTATAAATAGCACCGCTGGGCAGCCTGATCAAGGCTGTTACTGGGGCAGAGGGGCTGGGGGTTAACCCTTTCCTCTCGTGCCACCAGCCCAATGAAAAGCCCTTTTCAAGCTCAGGGGTTCACCTCCAGCACAGGGAGGAGGAGCCCTTTGGGGCTGACCACGAGCACAGGAGGAAGGTTAAGGTCCCCGCCCCTCCTGCTGCCTCCAGGAGCTCGGGGGGCTGAGCGGGGCCCACTAACCTGGGCCGCCCAGAGTCTACGTGGCAGGCCAGAGAGGGGGGTCTTGAAGGGGCTCCGTGGCAGCAGACTCCTCTGCAGAGGACAGCAACATGGCAGGAAGGGGTCAGGCCCACAGGAGGGGAGGGCAGGGGAGGAGGGAGTTCCTCCTCAGTGGGCCCTTGCCATTCAGTCAGTTGCATGCACAGAGGGAGGGCACCCGCAGGAGGAGCAAGTGCCGCTGGCTGGGGGCTACATGGAAGAAGAAGGGAAGTGACCAGGTCAGGAACGGCCCCAGCAGCTGCGCCCAGATGGCATGCTAACCTTAGCTCCGATTAACCCTCGCTCAGGGCTTTCACGAGACTGAGCGTCTTTGTGAATCTAGCCCCTTTGGTGAATTTGTGGTTCAGCGTATTATGCCATGCAAAAAGGGGGTGAACGAGCTCCCGAATTAAGGAGGCAGGGTGAACCCCACCAGCCAGGGGATGGGCGTCCCTTAAAATCCAGCCCTATCCACTTCTCGCCTTGGCAGCCAGGTGGAGAAACCATACCCCGCCAGGAGGACAACAGGGAACGTGCAAATGGCTCACAGCCACCCAAGAACAATTGCCCGCCCCCCCGTCTACAAAATCCTGCACTTGGGCTGTTTGCACGAGTTCTTGAAGGGATGCACGAGGACGGCTCAGATTCTACTTCCAATTTACCATGGAGAGCAAGCCAGGCGCAGAGTGTTTCAGTTTAAAGTTCTCATCGGCAAAGGGCCCCCGATAGATGCTGGCCACTCCAGTACCATCTCCCTGTTGAGAGAGAAGAGCAAGGGATCTCCACGGCTCCAGGGCCATAGGAGCAGCGGAAGGAAGGAGGGGAGAGGAAGAGGAAGGGAAGGGAAGGGAAGAAGGAGAAAGAGAAAGGGAAGGGAAGGAAGGAGGCAGGCAGGCCCCATGAACGATGGGGGAGTTCCCTTGGAAAAAAATATGTAAAACTGCTTCTCTGAATTGAGCCTGCTATAAAATAGTTAAGACAAACTTTTTAAAAACAGACATTCTAACAGTGCACAGCTCACTCACACACACACACACCCCTCCACAATCACTCCTTCCTTATTACTTTAATAAGCTGCGTTAGAAATTAGCCCACTGAAGGACTTTTTCTTCCTGGAAGCCTTTGAGAGTGAGCCCCACCATCTTGCCAGCACAGCATCGGAGCTAACGAGTTCAATTTGCAACCATCTTAGTTTCTGCAACGTTGATGTTAAGTGGCAGGAACAAAAAGGAGAAGTTCAGAACATCCACTTCCTTCCAACAAATATTTAGCACGGTTTCTACGGAACTTCTGTTTTCCCCAGAAATTTAGCTGGGGTTTGTGAATGAGGATACCAGCAATGGAAGTCCAGCTCCTTCGTGGGGCAACTTCCACTCTTATCTGCAGCTCCAAGGGAGCTGGGGGGGGCTTTCTCCCAGGACAAAATAACAGCCCAAGGCTGGCTGCTCGTTCTCAGAGGTGCTCAAGAATTCTCTTTCAGGGACAAGATGAAGACTGCGGGAGATCTGAAGGCCGTTGCCAGAACAAAAAAACATTTTCTAATTGTCCATAAAAAGGAGAGTTATTCCATCAGCGAGCAGAACTTGAAATTTGGATTGCCTGGACACTGAAATTGATGTTTAAGGCAAAAACAAAGCAAGCTCTGGAAACCAGTTATATGTTTCTTCCCAGTTTGAGGTTCTCCTTCCAAACTGGGGGGCAGCTGGAAGAAGCAGGACTACCTTCTAGCATACATGAATACTTCCTGGTGTGCTCTTAATTCCCACCCCACGCTCAAACAATTACTGAATTAACCCAATTTCTGAGCTAAGACTATACAATAAATGAACCAAACAGGCCGGATTTGCACCCCCACCCAAGTTCATCAGGATTAAAACTGTCATCAGCATTTAACTGTCTTGATGAAGAGTGTTGTGTGAACTGGCTACTAATGTAAATACACACGGTTGCAGCCCCACAGTTCTGTGGTGGATCTAAGGAACGTAAAGCAGTCTCTGCCTGCCAGATGATCGTGCAGGGGAGCCACATCCTGTTGTTCTGTGTCCCGTTACTCAGAAGATGCAGAATGGGCAATATGAGTCATCCTTCCATGCCTTGTGTTCTGGGCTCTTTAGGCTTCCAAAAGAAAGTCCCGTTTCTTTCAGAAGCATAAAAAAAATATTGGGGGAAAAGTAGACCAGCTCCCCACCCCAACCCCCCAGCCAACACAATTTGATTATGGTCACTGCCCAAACTTCAAGGTGGGGGGAGCTTTACAAAATTTTCTGAACCCTCCATTCAGGATCTTTTGTTTCGGGTGGGTGGAAGATGCTGTAGTCCGTTTGGTAAATTCATGTATGGACGTGTGTGTGTACACGTACACAAAATAAGGGACTGGCAAGAATTACAAACGCCAATTTCAAAGGCAAAGTTTGATTATGGTCACTGCCCAAACTTCAAGGTGGGGGGAGCTTTACAAAATTTTCTGAACCCTCCATTCAGGATCTTTTGTTTCGGGTGGGTGGAAGATGCTGTAGTCCGTTTGGTAAATTCATGTATGGACGTGTGTGTGTACACGTACACAAAATAAGGGACTGGCAAGAATTACAAACGCCAATTTCAAAGGCAAAGCACCCATTTTCCGCTTGTTAAAAGCAGCAAAAGAGCTTTGTACCTACGTTTACAAAATCACCTCCTTGGATCATGAAATCCTTTATAACCCTTGAAAAGAAAAAGAGAAAAGATATTATCAGGCAGACATATCAAAAAGCTACTCTTAAACACCAGCCTGGGAAGTTCACAAATGGGTTGGAAAAACCCAGAACAGGAGTTCATTTCCACTTAAGCAAAGGCCCAGGGTTTCTTTCATCCCCAAACCAACCACCCAGGGGTGTCAGCGGCAATGTAAAATAGCTTCAAAACTGGATTTTGTTTTCCACATCAGTTGGCAGAATCCTCAACAATTCTGAGAAAACCTTCCCAGCTTTGCTTACAGCAACAGTTCCTAGATTCAGGCAGCCCCAAACTACATACATTTGATGACATGGGCTAAGGTAAGTGAAAGCAGCTTATTGATAACCTGGTTAGCCTTTAAGGTGCCAATAAACTGCTTTTAGCTGCACAAGACTAACGTAGCTAGCTACCCCTTGGGAGGTTTTAGGTGGGACTCTCTGCCCCAGGAGGTGGTGCTGGCTTGAAAAAGCAAGTCTGGATAAATGCAGGGACAAGAGACTCCCCAAGGACTGCTTGTTTCTGAATCCCCTGCTGTTGGGGCACAATCAGGATATGCTACTGCCTTCCTGTCTTCCCAGGGACATCTGGCATTACGGCCATGGAGAGAAGCAAATTTGGGCTTTAGAGGACACCTTCCGGGTTTGATTCATCGGCAGTGACCTAGCGGGCTTCTTGCATTTTTAATGTGCTGGGCGAAGGATTAGAAAACCATAAAGTTGGAAGGGCACGCAAGGACCAGTCCCTCCATCACACAGCAATGAGCAGGAAAGCCAGTTAGATCATTAACAGTCCAGCGGGAAGACTGAATTCATTCCCCTCCTCCCTAAAATAGGTCTCTTTTCAGATCCCTGGAGATCCCCGTGCTCAGAAGCCCCAACCGGCTGGGTAATTCTGGGAGCTGTAGTTCCAATCCCACCCAAGAGAGCACAACAGTCCTCTGCTGAACGCTTATTTATATATTTGATTCAGAGGCCACCCAACTCAGTAGGTCTCTGGGCAGTTTACAGCTTTAAAAAGTAATGAAACTCATCTGAACCTCCCTCTCCAAACGTTGTTGGACTCCAGCGCGCCATCAGCCCAGCTGCCGTGGCCTGGAGGGACAGGAGCTGTAGTCCAAGCACCCCCAGCAGTGAAAAAAGTGGCCTTCCCAGCTTCCACGCCAACATACCTGTGGAAGGTGCTGCCTTTGTACCCGATAGGAACGCCATCTTTCCTGGAAGACAAGGAAGCAGACGCTTAGAAACTGGAGCTGCCATGACATCCGCACCTCCAAGAGGCCTTGAACGAATAGGATTTCTCCGGGTCCAAAGAGACCACACCGCCCTTCGCAGGCTGCCCCTCCTCGCTGTCTTGTTCTGAAGCCAGAGAGACGAGTCACCCCTTCGGGCTCTCTGGAAGTGGCCGATTCCCTCAGCGGGGAGCGTGGCCCCAGGAGGAGGAACCGGAGCCGTGCTGCGAGTCTCTCCGTCCGCTTCCAGCTCATTCAAACGACTTTTGCTTTTGGTGAAAGATCCACAGGACCGGCCTACCTGAATTCGCCCGTGCAGAACTGCCTGGAAGAAAGAAAGGAGAGAAAGAAAGGGCGGAGCGTTGACCTCGCACCCAGGGAGGAGCCGCCCGTTCGCAGCGAGGGTTCGGCGGCGTTCAGCGAAGAGGGCGCCTCGATCGGCGGCCGT